AAGGTATACAGAATGGAAGAAAGGGGGAAGGGCAAGAAATTGGAGATCAGAGAACACCAAATAAATCACCAATTCAAATATTTTTGCCTAGGGCAAATCCTAATTAGGCACACTAGGAGAAGAGCAGGCCTCAGAGAAAAACAAACAAAACCATGAGTAGTGATTAGGAAGATCCAGTCCCTTCCCTGAAAGAATTCATATCCAAGTGGTACCCAAAAGAAATTGCCAGAAGACAGATCAAACCCACTTGAAGTAAAGCCTTGGAAACCACATAAAAATAAACTCGATGAATCAAAAGCATTTTTATATAATAGAAAGGGGAAGGGTAGCAGAATTAAGAAGTCACCAGCCAAACTTAATCAGGAAGCTCCTTTCCCCAAACTCTTGTTATAAATAGCCACCAACACAGAGATCAAAAGGAGGTAGGTACACAGGCTCTGTCCTCACAGTGTTCCCAATCAAAGAGGGGTATGTTATCATTATTTCCAGAACAATAATTTTTTTAAGTGCTCCTAAATTTGTTTTGCTTGACTACGCCTGTTACAAAGGTTTTATTTTCCTTTCTGTTTTTCTTTTTAGGAATGGGAGTGAGAAAAAACAAATCCTTAATTAAAAAATAATTCATTAAAAAAGGTAAAGTTTCCCCTCCTTTACCATCCTCAGGTCAGATATGTTTTGAGTTATGTTGGCTGGGATCTAGATTAGAATCATATCATGATAATTCCATTCAGGAGTTAAAATGGCCCATGTAGTCCCCTGATGTTCCTTCCTCTCCAGGGCAGAGCTCCATACACCAACATTATCAATTCTACCTATCAAGGTTAAGTGATTCAGAGCATGGGTCCTGTCCTCGTGACCAGTGCCATCCTGGGATTTAAGGATATTAAAAGATCAGGATGTACAAGGAGTCTCCAGAATACTCTGTAATCTGAATTTTCTATATGTGGGGTTTGTGTGGCTGTTGCGGGGAAGGGAGAAAAACAGGAGGGATGTATAGGTGTGGTCTGGGCCTATGATTTCATAGATTAGAAAACCATTCCTGAAAAAGCACCTTCTACCAATGAAGGTTGGCACCTTCTCTACAATTTAATCTTATAGATGGTTGCCTGACTACAGTGCAAGGTGAGGTCATCTGCCGAAGTAAAATAATTAAGATGTGTAAAAAGCAAGACGTGACCCCAGGTCTTCCTGACCCTGAGTTCAGCTGCCTATCCATTACCACAGACTGCCTCTCTGTATCTGGATGCTTGCTCCTTGAATCTTTTTTTGAATTCCCACGTATGTCAGATAATGAAAAGAATATTAGCTATGGAGTAGAAGGACCTGGGTTGAGATACTACCTCTGATGCTTACTACCTGTGTGACCTTAGATAAGTCATTGCATTTTTCTGGGTCTTAGTTTCCTCCTCTATAAAAGGAGTGGTAGTGGAAATAAATTATCTCCAAGGCCTCTTTCCAGCTCCAGATTTATGATCCTAAATTTTGTTAACCATTAAAGTTAATAGTACTTGCTAAATGGCCACACAGATTTTTATTAATAATTATTTAATTAACATATTATTTAACTGCTGTCACAATTATTTAATTTATTTTGTTATTTATTATTTGATGTTATTAAAATAAATTATATTAGTAATGTTAATATTATTGATGTTGGTATTACTATTATTAATAATGATGACATGAGAACAAAATAATAACCATAGTAGGAACCTGCTTAATTATATCTCTGGCAGGATGAAAATCATAGTAGTCAAATGTGCCTAGCACAATAATAAAAAACAGACTTGAGAGTAGGCCATTTGACATCCCCAATGCAAAACCACATAATTAATTAGTCTCTACTTTATCTGGATGGTTTGAGAGATAGAAGGGCATCTCTGGCTAGGATTCTGGCTTTGCTTCTTCTACTGCCATTTTATCAATGGAGCCAAGAGCAAATAATTTAATTCTTATCACTTACTCTAGAAAGAGGAAAACTTCCAAGAAAATATAAACTAGGTATTTGGTAAGTATCTGTTTAAGAAGGAATGTGTGTGTGTGTGTGTGTGTGTGTGTGTGTGTTATGTATCTCTAGTGCCTAGCCAGTGCTTCCGTTAGATTGGGAACTCCTTGAGGGCAAGAACTGTCTTTTGTCCTTCTATCCCCCCACCACTTAACACAGTGCCTGGCACACAGTAGGCATCTAATAAATGCTTGCTGAAGAACCAGGAGAACATTGTATATAGTTAGCAGCAACACTGTACAATGACCAACTTTGATAGACTTATCTCTTCTCAGCAATGCAATGATCTAAGACGATTCCAAAAGACTCATAATGGAAAATGCTACCCACATCCAGAGAAAGAACTATGGAGTCCAGATGTAGATGGAAGCATACTATTTTTCCTTTTTTGTTCTTGTTTTTTATTTTTCATGGTTTTTCCCTTTTGTTCTGATTTTTCTTCCACAACATGACTAATGTGGAAATATGTTTAATGTGATCGTACATGTATAGCCTATATCAGATTGCATGCTGTCTTGAGAAGGAGCGAGGGGAGGGAGAGGGGAAAATTTAGAACTCAAAATCTTATAAAAGTGAATGTTGAAAACCAAAAAAGAAAATGAAAAAGAAAAAGAAAAAGAAAAAAAAGAACAAAGGAAAAAAATGCTTGCTGAATGATTTGTATGGAATTTCTTTGGTTACCATGTGATTAGCACTCAATTATATCCTCTCTTATCTTGTTGACTCATTTCCTCCTACATATTAGTTTTGTCACCTGAATGACAAAGTTCTCTGCCCTCGCAGAAATTACAATGACATTAAATGTCCAGCATATGGGCATTCTATAAATATTTGTTGATAATTTAACTGATAGCTGCTCCTGGTAACATCCATTAAAGACCAATCATTTGTAAGGTATACTATATATAGTAGTTCACATTTAAATAGCACTTTATGTGCTATCAGCTTTAATCTTCACAACAAGGTGCTATTATTATCCCCATTGTACAGATGAGGAAATTGAGACTGAGATAGGTGAAGTGACTTGCCTAGGGTCACTCAGCCAGGAAATAGCTAAGGCTGGATGTGAACCGACTTTTCTTGACTCCAAACCCAGCCCTCTATCCACTGTACCACCTTGCTGCCTACTATAATAGTCCCTTTCAGTAATAGGTTAGACCAGATGGCCACTGAGATCTCTTCCAACTCTGTGATAAATCTCTTAAATGAATTAAAAGCTCACCATAGAGCCAGCCAGTGCCATATCAAAAAGTGGTTATGGAAAGTAGTCAATGTTGAACCCATTAAGCTTGGGACCACAAAAACTCAAAGAACACTTGAACCAATGAACTATAATAGCAAGAGGTCCCAGTGGGTCTTAGAGGCCAATTCTATGGAGTGATCTTTTCTGAGATGATTCTCTTCTCAGAAGGGATTTGTAGCTGGTGGTTATAAAATGTATGGATAACATGTTGATTTACAGATGTGTCTCACACTAACTGTAAGTATCCTGACAATAGTACTTCAAGGTTGTATAACAAATGATGCTGCTTTCCTTTTTATGAGGACACTTTGGAAGATTAACATCTGGAAGAACACATATGAACATGGAAATGTGATGCAAGCTTTAATTTTAGGCATCTTTCAATTCAATGAATATTTTTAAAATTTTATTTTTAATAGTATTTTTCCCTAATTACTCACATGTAAAGACAATTTTTAGTATTCATTTTAAAAAAACATTTTTTGAGTTCCAAAGTTTCTCCCTCCCTTCTTCACCTCCCCAAGATGATAAGCAATTTGATAAAGATTATATATATGCAATCATATAAAATCAAGGAATATTTTATTAAACCCCTAGTGGTACAAAGAAAGTTCTGGGAACACAAAGAAAGAGACCTTAAGGATGTTACATTTAGCTGTCAAGGGTGGTGAAGGAAGGAAAGAGAATATCACATACAGGTAATTCAAGAAAGAGAGCATACCCAACTAGCAAGCATAGAGAAGGCTTTATGGAAAAAGTGGTACCTGAGTTGAGCTTGGAAAAAAAATAAGGATTTCGAGAGACAGAGGTGAGGATGGAGTCCATTGCAGTCATTACAAACAGCTTGTGCCAATGCGTGGGGGCAACAGCTAGAGGGTAGGTTTGGGGAAAAACAACTAGAAGTCTAGTTTGGCTGGAGTAGAGGAAGTAAAGAGAGGCAATATGAAATATGGCTGAAAAGTAACCAGATTGTGCACGGTCTTAAATGCTGAGGGATTGTCTATGCTTTTGTTCTTTCAACCTATAAATACCCAACTGGTCCCCCAAACCTCCTCATTTACTAGAACACACCCTCATTTGGTGCTCTCCAATTAGAAAACACACACAGAGCACCCATTTGACTTTGTTTCTCTCTCTCTTTTTTTAAACTCTGATGTCCTTTCCATTCCTTAAATTAGTCCCAGCCAATGTTTAAATTCAATATGTACATTGTTTTAATTATAGGTGCTTTGGGCTTTCATGGTTCTGAAAGATTATAGCTTCTCTAAACCACACCTATATTTGGTCTGAAAGACTGGTGGCTTCTTTATAACAATCTCCACCTCAAACATCTGCTTAGGGTTCTGCAAAATTTGATGTGACGCTTAACCCGCTTGTCCGAAAAACCAGATGGGTTCGGTTTCTGTTTTACAAACTAAGAGGTCTCAGACAATTCAGAGTTCTTTGGAGACCTGACTGACTATAAATATTTGCAGTTACACCTAAAACATAGTTCATATCCATTGCCCCACAAAATTAGGGAGGTAAAAATAGGGAGAAGGAAAACAAATAGGCAGAAGGCTGTTTACAGTTAGCATCAAAAGAGGTATGACTCTATGAATAAAAATACACATTTTAGAAGAGCATTCCCAGCAATGTAAAAATAAACTAAAAAGCACACGTTTATGCTGCACACATTTAATACACGTAAGAGCTACTAAGAAAAACTGACCCAGGGTTATGGTAAACTTGAGGTAGTTTGGGGTTACTTACTTTTGGTGCACATTGGAAGTGCATTCCAGGCACAGGTAGGGTAGTAACATACATGGTAATACAGCGATACAGGTATAAAGTGCCCATTATAAAAAAGAATCTCCGTCCCACTATTGACCTAAGAATGAGGAGGAGAGAGTGGGGAGAAAGCTAATTAACCACCAGCAGTTGGTTTTTTCATTCATAACAGCACTTCAAACAATACTTAACAGGAAGAGGGATAACTGAATTCAGGACTTTGGTAAATGGACCAAATTTTAAAAGGAAAAAAAAAAGTCACGTTTACAAGAGAATCCCAACAGGTGGGATTTGAACCCAGGTCTTAGGATTCCAGAATTCTTTCCAGATACATCACACATATCAAGCTGATCTCTTACCTGATTCACAGTAGGCAAGGAACATCTCACTAATGCTAGTCAGATAGATCACTTCCAGCAATCAAGTCTTCTCTTGGGAACACAGCAAAAGTATAACCAAGAGAAAGACACAAAGGAATTGACTAATGAACCAAGTTGATATTAAATAATTGGCCATGTAGGAAAATATGACATCTAATTTAAATTAGATTATAGGCAAGGATAATGGGAGGGGGCATATGCTCACATGTGCACACGTGTGCACGCGCACACAGACACAGAGAAATCATTGCCATGTCTTTCATGTGAATTAAACATTCTTCTCCTCTAAATATTACATTTTAAGTGAATTGAGTTTTAAAGACACTTCAAATGTTCCTAGCTAGTGCAGCCTATCAACCTGAAGGGAGGGAGAGTAATTGTTTTGTTCCTGGTGTTTTACTTAGGATTTCTGTGCTTTCTGAAGTTTTTCAAATTTCACTTCCTAATCAAGAAACATATCCTACCCCAGACCTCTTCTGTCTCATATCTAAATTAGAGAGCTCTGTCCTCACTTCACCATCCACATACTGATAGTTAGCCTTAGTTTTCACATTTTTAACCCAAGCTTTTATTTTTATTGTCAACACCTCTCTTTCTAGTTTTCCTATGGGGAAAGTAGCAGCCTCATTATGAACTGCTGCCCCAACGTTAAAGAAAAGAGGCAGTTTCGAGTAAGCAAAGAATCTGGAACTCAGCTCTTTCCACTCCTCTGAAATTCCTGTTGCTGGGATATGGGCAGGTGATTTTATACCTTTGGGGCTCATGGTTCTCCCTAGGAACCAAGTGGGATATGGATGCAACACCTCCACCCCCATCCCAAATCTCATTATTGGCCATATAGGGAAATATGACATTTAATTTAAATCAAATTATATAGATAAGGATAATGGGGAAGGGGCACAGAAAATGATTTTTCACTTCCATTAAATACACTGGCCAAGACTCTTACTAGTGAGTCTCTGGGCTAAAGGACATCATATGTACCTCTATCACAAACAGCCACATCGAAGACTGCTTTTTCTTGAACAATTTGATACTCACCTTTTAAAGGAATGTTAAAGAAACCTAAAATCATAGAGAAAGAAGAAACTGTCCATTTAGGCTAATGATTCTTAACGTAAGATCAGTGAACTTTTTTTTAAATATTTTGAAAAGTGTATTTCAATATAATTGATTTTCTTTATAATCCTGTGTATTTTATTTTACATATTTGAAACTTTAGTCTGAGTAGGGGTCTGTAGGTTTCAGCAGAATGCCATAGAAGGCTACACACAAAAGGTTAAGAACTCCCGATCAGGCCCAATCCTTTCATTTGATGGATTAGGAAAATAAAGCTTCTTCAGTGCAAAAACTGGACAATAAAATATTACACCCTGTTCCAGCTGAGGCATCCATTCATTCATTTGATTTGTACATGCAAGATATTATGCTTGGTGCACAGGGAAATACAAGGATACACAATTCCTACCTCCAAAGCTTACAATTTTCAGACCTTTTGTATCAGAGGTTGACATTGTCAAGATTGTTACTAATCAAGGGCAAAGAAATTCTGGTAAAGTAAGCAAAATGGCAAGCCTGGAACAGTGCTCGGCACACAGTAGGCATTTAAATGCTTGTAGATTTACATTATGGCAGATTTAATTATTTTTAAAGGCTAACTTAGTTGTGAGGACCCTTCATTATCATTAGATTGTATTCTACTTGAAGACATAGACTGTTGACTCTTTGTATCCTGAGGACTCAGGACAGTGCCTGGCACACAGTAGGTGTTTTATAAATGTTTATTGACCAATTCATTTTATATATATATAAAAACAAATACCAATTCCCTGTGACATAGGAGATGATGCAATATATTTTACGTGACATGTTGAATATACTGACCAAGCTCAAAAGTTATTTTGAGAAACTAAGTAGGGACATTCCAACAGAGTTACTAGGGACACAAACAGGGTGGTGTTCTCTACCACCTACTGTGGTCAAAGAAACTACTTGTTTATACTGAAGTATTTACTTCAAAGCTTTGCTTTTCTGGGCTTGCTTTTCCAGTATTAACATTTAATAGTGCTGAATTTGTCCTCGTGGTTACTTAATAAATGAAGGGGGTTGGGGGAGAGAAAGGCAATCCATTTTCTTCCCTGAACAAATCCCACTCCCAAATCCATCTACTGCTTTGGCTGGAAATGTCGTCTTGTCAAACTGTCTTCTATGTTTTCCTAACAAGTGAAGTAATTAAGCAGAAATTTTTTGTGATATGAGAATTTGCATGTCCCACATTCTGAATTTGGCTGCTCAAGAGGATACAGAAATTCACGGGGGAAGGGGAATTTGCCAACGACAACATCATACAAAGGAGGAAGGCACTAATGGCTCTCCTCATAAGTTCTACATTATATTATTCATGTGGGGACAGCAATCTGAGTGTCTGCTGAGAACTTTGCCAATGGTTGTAAAGATTTTTCTACCAATTATTTTTAACAGGATGTACTGGGACAACCCCTCCTTGCTTCTTCCCAGCCTAGTTTTTACCTTAAAATAGGGACTCTTAACCTGAGGTCCATAATGTGTCTTTTAAAAAATATATATTTTGATAATTGTCTTGTTTTTCAATCTAATTGGTTTCTTTTGTAATCTTATTTTATTTTATGCATTTAGACACATGATTCTGAGGAGAGTTCATAGGCTGTAGACAAAGGGGTCCAGGACACAAAAATGGAGAACTCTTGGTCTAGGACAACAGGGGTCTGCGGATGGATTTCAGGGGTCCATCAGCTCTTATTTGGGGGGAGGGGTGGAGTTACATTTTTATTTCACTAACCTGTCATTGAAATTTGGCTTTTCCTTCATTTGCGAATGTAGACAACAAACCATTATTCTCTGAAGGGGTCCATAGGTTTTACCAGACTGTCAAAGGGGTCCACAACAAGAACCTCTAATCTAAGACATAGGCTGATTTTCTTTCAACTCATTGACTGTGGTGAGTGATTAAAACAGTGGACTGGTCATTTAAATGTATGGCATTGGAGGAAAGGTTAGCAGAAATAGTTCTCTGATTTTATCTCCCAATTATAAATGTAAGTTTTCACTAAAATTAACAGCTGTTCTATTAGCCTTCAAAATTCATTTAAAGACTCAGGTGATGGGGCAGCTAGGTGGCACAGTGGATAGAGCACTGGCCCTGAAGTCAGGAGGACCTGAGTTCAAATCTGTCTCAGATCAAACACTTGACACTCACTAGCTGGGTGACCCTGGGCAAGTCACTTAACCCCAATTGCCTTAAAAAAAAAAACAACTCAGGTGATGAGAGTGTTTCAGGGTGTGGGTCAATAGTGTGGGAGGCTCTGGCAAGTAAGTCCCCTAGGCTTCCTCCCTCTTCCCAATTACACAGATTACACTACTTTTTTACATTGTTGTTGTTAACACATGAGTTTTTGTTCTTGTTTAGTTGTTTTCAGTCATGTCTTACTCTTCATGACCCCATTTGGGGTTTTCTTGGCAAAGATCCTTGAGCAGTTTGCCATTTCCTTCTCAAGCTCATTTTTACAGATGAGGAAACTGAGGCAAACAGGGTTAAGTGACTTTTGCCCAAGGTCACACAGCCAGTAAGTGTCTGAGATCAGATTTGTACTCAGGTCTCCCTGACTCCAGGCCTGGTGCTCTATTCACTGTGCCACCTAGCCGTCACAATACATGAGTACAAACAAATGGATGAATTTAACTATAGATAGGAAAACCTGTGGCCCGAGGAGAAGGCAGTATACAATCAAGCAAGCCCTGGGCAGGAAATCTGGACATTACTGCTACTGACCAGAGTGACCAGGTACAGATGAACCAGACTGATCTCTTCATCTGTAATATTGTTATACGAGAGCTCATATGTCTAGAAGGCACTTCAGAGAACATCTAGTCCAGTTACAGATGAGTAAACTGAGGCCCAGCTAAGTGAAGTCACTTGTTCAAGGTCACACAGGTAGTACTCAGAGGTGAGGTCTAAATCCAAGTCTTCTAACTCAGAGCTCTTCCACTGCCTTCCCAGACGACTGGACCATATCAGTTCTTTTTTTCTTTTTCTTTTTTTTTTTTGGCTAGGCAATGAAGTTAAGTGACTTGCCCAGGGTCACACAGTTAGTATGTGTTGTATGTCTAATGAGGCTGGATTTGAACTCAGGTCCTCCTGAATCCAGGGCCAGTGATCCATACACTGTGCCACCTAGCTGCCCCCATATCAGGAGTTCTTAACCCCTTTTTGTGACATAAACCATTCTCCCTTTCTTCCCCTTTCTGATAGTGTGGTGAAACCTATGGATGGACCCAATCTCAGAAATAATAGTTCTAAATAATTCAAGGAAATACTAAATTTCTGTGAGAGATTAGTGAAAATCAAGATGTCATTTTTTTCCTTTCATTTAATTTTACAGAACCTCCCCTTATCCCCCTGAAAAAGAGTCAATCCACAGACCCCAGGTTAAGAACTAGATAGAGATGGCAGCTAGGTGGCGCAGTGGATAGAGCACCGGCCCTGAAGTCAGGAGGACCTGAAGTCAGGAGGACCTGAGTTAAAATCTGGCCTCAGACCAAACACTTGACACTTATTAGCCGTGTGACCCTGGGCAAGTCACTTAACCCCAACTGCCTAAAAAAAAAAAGAACTAGATGGAGGGGTAGGTAGAATTGAATAAGACTAGATAGATGGACAGTCCTTTCTTTCTCTGTGCATAATTTTTTGATCTTTCCTTATGTTAAATAGCAAGCTGAGAATTCCAACATCCTAAGGGGTGGGGGTGGGGACAGGAAAGCATCCCCCCACAACACCAATTCCCCACAAAAGGCCACTTACACATAACAAGCAGACAACTGAAAAAGAGCAGCTTCAGGAGTCATGTATTCTATTAACTAAGAAGACGGGATAAGCTTAAAAATTGTTCAGAGACCACCACAAAATGAGTTTTATTTGTGAAATAAGTTGAAATAGCATCAGCATGGAGGAGCATCTGAACAGCAAGGTTAGGTATTGGGACATTGTCCTCTAGAATAAAGAGAACTTTAGATCTAAGAACCTGAAAGCCACAAGCATGACTGATGTGGAAGAGCTTTGTTGTTCTGAAATTATCTCGGGCTTTTTCTTTAAACTTAATTTCCCCTGGCTTTGCACTTCCTAATTGTATTCTCTCTAGGAGAACTTTCATGATTTTTCACAAGCCCTGGGTTATGGAAATTTTTCTAGGCCTGCCTTGTGTTTATTTTGATGTGATGCTCAAATCTTCTTCAAGAAAAGAATATGCTTATTTCGCTGTCTGCCACACAGTGATCTCAGTGGGAAGGGACTGTCATATCTGCCTGATTGTTCCTCTCTTCTCTCCGGGCTGGTAACAAGAGGAGAGGACAGGAGGGACACAGACAGCCCCTACTGCCCGAAGAATTAAAGATCTTCTGATAACCTCTCATTTTGGCAGCTGGAGGTGGATTACAAGGAAAAACAGACATATTCCCTACTGTATCTGCATCCCTGCTCTACCACATGTTAAAAGAGTGGCTCCAAAAACCAACTGCCAGAATGTTAAATTTGCCTAATTTCACTTCTTTAGTAATCCCGAGACAAGTCCATGAGGCCCATCTGCCCTTCAGAACCTAAATCACATTATCAGACGCTGTTTGTGAGGACTGCTTATCTGTCCTTGACTAACGGATCTGGCTGGGTTGGCAGAGGCAAACCGTAAAGAGGGCAGGGCCTCAAATCATGTGTGTGGCTAAGATAATGAACTTCTTGACCTGACCTTTTCCTTATCCCTCTGTAGCTAAAAACAGGAGATAACCATTCTCCATCAGCTGAATGCCATTTCTTCTAATTATCTCTTGAATGATTCTTCATATGAATTCTATGGCTTGGGTTTACCGGCTCTTCATAGTCCTTCCTTTTAAAAGAAATGGTTATTTGAAAAACTTCTGAATTACTGAGAGGCAGCACGAAGTAGTGAAGAGAGCTAGCCTCAGAGCCAGGAAGATCTGCATTCAAGTCCTGCCTCGGACACATGATGGCTGTAGGATTCCAAGCAAGTCACTTAATCTCTCAGTTCTCTAGACTATAAGGCACATAGAGGGTGATAATGTGCATTGCGAGAAGCTGTTCTCTAGATTAATGAAATCACAGATCCAGCCCCTTTCCTCTGCTTCAGGAATCTGGGCCAAGACTTCCTGGAAGATAATTTAAATTTCAAAGACATTCATGTTTGCATATCAACTAGCATGCCCCAAATGATGTATAAGAGGGATACTTACTTATATCTCAGAAACAGCCACTGGGTAATCCATAACCCAAATAATATCATCCCATTTATTTCTGATACAGAAAATGCCCATTTCACTCGATCAATGTAATCGAAGAACTTGTCCGGTAGTGGAGGGCTGAGCTCCTTGGGAGGCACCCTCTCATGTACAACTGTGATCATGACGGTCGTCAAGATTAGGTTGAATAGGGCATAGACAAAAGCAATGCCCGTTTTCCACCATTCTAGGGGAAATTTGTTCCTTGCTTCAGCGGGCATAGAAATTTGAATATAGTCCGGGTACTTTTTGGCACCCTTTCGCAAGCCATTGGACAGACTCTTGGGTTTGCCACTGCCATTTTTATTGTCTTCATCAGTAGGTTCAGTAGGTCTTGTGTAACTATTTGCAGGGTCATTGGTTTGATTTTCCATATGTTCTTCAAGTTTTGCTGTCTCTATGACATCCATTGCCCTTGACCTTCACCCAAACAAGGAAGTGGTAGTAACTTTTAATTCTCCTCAATTTCTGCCCTATTCCTTTTTCTTTGATCTCTGCACTTCTAAGATGACCATACACTTGCTTATGGCTGACTTTGTTTTCTAATACAACAAGGAGATGTTAGTCATCTGATTTTTTTTTCTTTTCATCCAGGATCCACTGTCGATGCCCCAATTTCAGGAAAAGAAACCAAATCCTTTACTCCAAGAGCTATTAATATCCCATCTGCAAAACAAAAGCAAAGACTACAGTCAGAAACTATACCCATCTGACAATTCAGATTTAAAATATCATCAGAATAAGGAAACAAATACCAAGCCAGTCACTTACGATAACATCAACTGTTAGAAAAGTTATTTATAACCTATAGAAATATCTTGGAATTATAATCCTTCTCTGGTTTGATATCAATACAATGAGAATAGTCTAGCAATCAATTTGCTGTCCTTCAAATAAAGGCGGAAACCAAATTCTCAAGCATTTTATCCCCAGTCAATACTACTGGTTGCTAACAATGAGGTCATAATAAGCCAGAACCTCCACAATAACCACATCACTAAGAAGACTTTTTTTCCTTTGTGCATAAAGAAAATACCAACATTTCCATTAAGGGAAATATATTCAGTAAACACATGTTACTTTGTTCATTCTCTAGAACTCTTTAATTTCTGGCTCCAAATTGGTACTTAATCAAAGGGCTTCTTTTAAGGTATTTAAAAACCAAATCATGGCATATTTTACTTGAAATAGTATTACTTATTAAAAAAAAAAACTTTTCATCCCAAGAGATCCAATCTATGCCAAAGGCAAGCAACAAGTCATAATAACAGTAATACAAAAAAGTCTATTCTCTTTCATTTGGTTACTAAGTAGAAATCACAAGCATCTCAACATATTGTAATTCACATCTAAAAACACTTGAGCTCAAAGTCACAGATACTTTTGGGGGGGGAAGGGAGGGAACACAACAATAACAATGGAAAAGACTCATATTTTAACTACCTTCTAAGTGCTGACTTACCCAAGGGTCTGTAAGAAAAGGACAAACTTCAGCCGACTGCTGCTTTAGAACCCATCAATGAGTGAAAATGTTTCACTGAGACCTGAAGCATCACTACCAGACCTCTTTTTTATACTGGCTAACATCACTGCCCCTTTATTCAGGAAAAGGGTTTTTGGTCATGATCCGCAGCCCTCACAAAAACCTGTAATTATTCCCCACCCTGAACATTTATACACTGTAAGCAGAATGCTTGTTCACATCTAAGGTTTCCCAAAGGCTATCCCTATCTGTGCCTGTCTGGAAATAGAAGAAGGAATCTTGAGTGATGACAGCTAGCCTTCTTGTTAATGGAGGAGAAAAAAAAAGGGTGTGTTTTGAAACCAGTATATTCAATGTGTATTAGCAGGGCTTTTTTGAAGTACTGGAGAAAATCAAATAAGGATTAGACTCAGTAAATGAATTAGTGTAAGATGTGAATCTTACATCTTCTACAGTCTAGCTGGGGAGATAGCATTAACACACATAATGAGAAAATGATAAGTTAAACCATGGGGCAGCTAGGTGCCACAGTGGATAGAGCACCAGCCCTGAGGACCCAAGTTCAAATCTGGCCTCAGACACTTACTAGCTGTGTGACCCTGGGCAAGTCACTTAATCCAGACTCAAAGAAAATGAAAGTTAAACCATGTGGTTTGGAATAGTGAAAGACTGATATGGGTTGTTAAAATTTGGAAAGTTTTCATGAAGGAAATAGGACTTGGGCTAGCACTTGAAGGATAACTGTTCACTGCATCGATGAATCATTGGTTTTAAAGGATCACTAAGAATTCGGTAGATGGGAAGGAAGTGGGGAGAAGGGAGGCAGAGGATTCTATGAGGTGAAAACAGCACTGAGTAAAGGCACTGAGCTAACACTAACTACAACCCATTTAGAGGAGCACATAAGCGTAGTAACTCCCATTTATACAAGCACCTTAAGGTTTGACAAGCCCTCTTACATACATTTTCTAATGTAATCCTCACAGTGCCTGTGTGGAGGGGCTGTTATCCCCATTTTACAGAAGAGAAAAATGAGGCTCAGAAAGGCTGCCCAGTGGTCACAACACAAGTTAATATCTGAGGCAGGACTGCAATGCAGACTTCCTTGAGTCTAGGACTCTATCCTGAGATTGCTTCTAGGGCGGAGCAGTAGGAAATCATTGGACCATCAGGATGGGTAATGAAAGACCCTGAAGTCCAGGCAGAGAAGTTTAGAAATGATATAGCATATTACTAGCTGTGTGACCCTGGGCAAGTCACTTAACCCATTGCCTAGCCCCCCCAAAAAAAGAAATGGTGCAGCATAGGACTAAGCAAACTATGGTCTGTCTGCTGTTTGCTTGTTATTCAGGACTCCAGCCAGCTAAGAATGTATTTTATTGTATTAAACACAAAACAAAACAAAAAAGGCTACAGGGATTTTGCCTTTGGAGGATATAGTTTGCCTGAATTATAGCAGGAAATAGGGAGCCTGTCTCAGGTTACAGAACAGAGTAATGACATGAAGAAAGAAATGTTTTGTAAGACTAGTTGGGCAGTGCTATGGGGGGGAGAGAGAAAAAGACTGGGACCTCAGGTGACCAGCTAGCAGATTCCCAGTTTCTTTTTCTTGTTCTCTTGCAAGAATGGAGGGAGGGGTGTTGAGGGAGACCCTATTGGGTTTGGCAATTAGGAAGATACTGGTGGCCTGCAAGGTTGCTATTTCAGTGAAGTAGGAAGGTTAGGAGTCAGAATATTCTGTACAGATTGAAGACAAAGGGAGTGAATACAGGCTACTCTTTCAAGAAAGTTGGTAATGAAAGGGAGGAGAGAGATGAGACAGTAGCTGAAGGGCATAGAAAGTTCAAAGGAAGGCTTTACTTTGTTTTGTTTTGTTTTGTAAGCTAGGGAATACATGAGTCTATTTGTAGGGTAGGAGAAAGGGTGTCATTAGGGAAACTCTGAAAGTAGGGGTATAGATGACGGAGGTAAGTCCTGAGGAAAGATGGAGGGGGAGGAGATCAAGGGCACAGGAAGAGTGGTGAAATCTGTCAAGAGACAAACTGAAATCAATCATTACCAAGTCCTTTCAATTCTACCTCTATATGACACCTCCCTCTTTCGTCCTCTCCTCTCTCCACCCACAGCCATCACTCTGACCTAGGTCCTTTGTTTCCACCCATTGGGACTATTACAATATCCTCCTTTTAGGCATTTTTCTCTTCCCTCTCTTCTTGTTCTAATCTGTTCTTCATATCACTGCTGAAATAAGCTCACTTATACCTATATCTGGCCATATACAGTGTACATAACATCTGACACATGTGTGTCACTGCTTTCCTCAGCTTCAGATTCCTTGTATGGCATTCAAGGACCTCTACAATCAGGTGACACCCCTCCCTCCTTCTCCCTAACCCTTCAAAGCTTACCTGACCGGACTACCTTTTTAGCACTACATTCAAACTGGCCAGCTCTCATTGATCATACAATTTAAAGCTGTGAGGGACTTTAGAGGCTCTGTCCCACAAATTTACAACACACGCTCATACCTCTGTGTGAACTCCTTCCCCATCTTTATGGGTTAAATTCCTCCCTGGTGTTTAGAGCCCAACTCCTCCATGAAAAGCTTTTTCTTATCTTCTTGGTCACAGTAACAACCTTGCCCCCTTCAGACCTTACATAATACTTCGTTCTACAGACTTCTAATACTAGTATCACACAATGCTATGTCTAGATAAGATAATCAACCTCTCTGGACCTCACTTTCCTCTCAAAATGAGGATGTTAGAATAGATGACCTCTAATATCCCTTCAAACTCAAAATCTGTTTGACCTATGGTACTGTCCTCCTCCAGGCTGGCTGCAGGGGGGAAGAATCTTTAAGCCTACTGGAGCTGTCCAAGACTACATGCTGCTAAATGGTAGTTGTCACAGAATTACTGAAGAATTGTTGGTGTCTTAGCATCTAGATAAGCACCACAAGGCTATGTCTTATCTTGTATCCTCTTCAGCACCTAGAATAGTCCTATGCACAAAGGAGTCACTTGAACTTGTTAAATGAATTAGTTGAGTGAGTTATCCTGGAGAAGGGGAAGTTGAGGCAGCTTATACTAGATGGCTTCAAGCTTCTCAATAAAGAGAGGTGCCAGTGGGCTTGAGCAAAGTGGAAATGGTCTGGACCAGGTGGTGTAGGTCTGCAATTAGTTGGTGCTATTGAATGACTCTCTGGCCATGTTAGGTGTTCCATAGCAAAAGAGGCAGCAGGTTGGGTGGAAACAATGCTGTTTTTGATGTCAGGGGACATGGGCCTGAATTCCAGCTCTGTTTGTTTGAGTTATAAAAAATCAATTAATTTCTACAGGTCTCAGTTTTCAAATATGACTGGAGTTGATGATCTTTAAGCGGCACAGTGGATAGAATACTGGGACTGAAATCAGGAACACTTTTCTAGAGTTCAAATCCGGCCTCAGACGCTTACTAGCTGTGTGACCCTGGGCAAGTCACTTAAGCTTGTTTGCCTCAGTTTCCTCATCTGTAAAATGAGCTGGAGAAGGACAGGGCAAGCCACTCCAGTATCTTTGCCAAAAAATCCCCAGGGAATTTGGGGTCACAAGGAGTCAGACACGACTAAGACAACTGAACAACAGCAAATTCCCTTCTCCTGTAAATCTACAATGTTTTAAATGCTCAACGCTGGATGGGTTACCTGGGGTTAAAGATGAACAGATGATCTGGGGGTGGGTAGGTGAGTGGATGACTATGGGGCCCCCAACTAGGCAGGGAAACTAATGAATCCAGGGCAAAGGTGACAGTGGGAGAAAAGAAGGGCTGAGGAATAATCATAAGGAGGATAGATGTAAGTTTAGTATGAGTGACAAAGCAGGAAGGATGAGGAGACAAGAGATCAGTAGTGGAATATGAGCTCTTTGAGGACAAAGCAAATCTCAATAGGGTATTTTTATTTTTAGCACCTAGCACAGTACAGGCACACAGTAGGTACCTACTAAATGCTCACATGGTACAAAGAAGAGAGCATGGACAATTAAGTCAGAAGGCTTCAAGCCCACCTCTGATGCTCGTTACAAGTCACTTTATTTTTCACCTGTAAAATGAGGGGCTTGGCTACATAGCATTGGAAGTCCCTCCCAACTCTGGATCTATGAGCCTAGGAGTGATTATACTCAGAAAGAACCTCAAAGCCTTAGATCTCAGAGGTGGTCCAGTTCCAGAGGAAGTCAAATGCAGGTGGTTGTGGTAGGATATAAAAGAAAGTCATGAGAATTAAAGAGGTTGAGAAATTAAGAGCTCGGGAGTCCTGGGTCATCAATATATTGCCAAGGATGAGGATGAGGTAATGGAATAGGAATCATGAATGTGAGTCTGGTGCTAAAGTCAATACAGAAAGTGGACAGTAACCCAGAGGGCAGTA